CCCAGGCCACAGGGAGACAGCAGACCTTCCTATGGGTTGGTCCAGTCGGTATATTGGACCCTCTATCCCCTTAGAAGGGAATCATCTACAACTCAATAAGCATGAGCTCAAATAAAACAATGGAACTATGAATGAATTTGGACAAAGAAATTTGCATTTTAAATCCACTTCCAAGGAATTTCTCTAGCATCATCAACTACAGTGCCAATTTTACCTCAATATTCATATGCACAGTGGGAGCCAACCAGGTAATTGACAAGAATCCAAGAAAGAAAGCCCTCAGTCTGTTTCAACACAGTGCCAGCAGACAAGCAAGAGTGCATGATGGCAGTGAATTACTAACTACTGCAACCAAAAATGGCAATTTATTTGTTGATCCTACAGTTGTCCTAATTATAAGAGTATTTTAACATATTGAAATTACACACATTTATGTCAAACAGGGCAAACATTCAAGAGCTCTTTTATCTTCCAAAACAGACCTCTGGAGAGATCTCATTCAATTAAATTATATGTAAAATCACTAGTACATATTTTGCTGCTCACAGTCATGCTTTTGTGACTTGCTCCATTAATATAACTAACAAAAATAGCCATTTGGGATGTAGGTTAGAGATCTACAACTGTTCCTGTGCAAGCTAAAGTCACTTTAGTTCATTAGATTTGCACCACTGTGAAAAACTGGCCAAAGATGTTCATCTTCAAATAGGCATTTGTTGTTTACACTTGTATTAGAGGGCAATGGTATAATAGCTGAAATTAGCTTTAGAGGTACTTCAATGACCAAGCAAAATGAAACGCTACTTTATCAGGAGCTATCTTCAACTACGGAAGTATTCTTAAAGACCACAGACTTTCAAAAGGAAAAAAATAATTTTCACTCTATGCTGGTATTAAGATATTTTTCCTAATTATTCTACATAGAAAAGAGTAGCCACAAAATTTCTACAGTATTTTATGTCAGACTGATCTTATTCTCAGAGAATAATGGACAGAGACTTTAGAACTAAGGTTTTTTCTCAGATCAGGTCTAGGCAAAATGAAATCAAAGCAGACATCAAAGGCTCAATGAGGAGAAAACACATGCAAAAGCCTTGTATTGCACGCTTTATAATTTTTTTCTTTCTCCATAGCTCCATTTCCCATTCAGGACTTTTACATTTATAGGCTACCATCTGTCCTCAGAAAAAATAAAAGCTTCTAAAATAAAATTGAGATTAGTTATGTTACAAGTAAGGAGATGGACCACAATGTACCTTTTCCATCTTATAAACTGTTCTATGAAAGACTAAAATAATAGAAAAGTTACTAAATGAACTACATCTTTTATTGTTGTATCAGCCACTGTCTAATACATTGATGCAACTTCCAAGTAAAACTTCTCCATTGTGTATCAGATGCAAATATGTGTGCAAACAAAAGATACTTCCGTGCTCCAAAATCAACCCCCTAACAAAGTAGATGGATGCCTCCTGTCATCTTCAGTTTACCAAAAATCACCTCAAAGATCCTTCTCCATAGAGATGCTTTCAGCAGGTCAGCCCCCCAGCCCGTACTGGTGGTGCCTGAGGTTATTCTCCCCCAGGTGCAGGGCCCTGTACTTTGTTGAATTTCACACAGTTCTTCTCTGCCCATCTCTCCAACCTATCAAGGTCCTTCTGAAGGGCTGCACAGCCCCCTGGGGTATTGGCCACGCCTCCCAGCTTTGTGTCATCAACAAATTTGCTGAGGAGGCATCTGCCCCTCCATCCAAGTCACTGATGAGTAAGCTAAACAATACTAGGCCCAGTATTGAACCTTGGGGGACACCACAAGTGACAGACCTCCAACTAGACCAAGTGCCACTGATAATGATCCTCGGGGACCTGCTGTTCAGCCTGTTCTTAATCCACTTCATTGTCTACTCATTCAGTCCACACTTGCAAAGTTTGCCTATCCTATGAGGATATCATGAGAGACAGTGTCAAAAGCCTTCCTGAAGCTGAGGTAGGCAATATCCACTGCTTTTTGCTTACTCCTGCAGGTAGCTGTTTCATTGTAGAAGGCAATCAGGTTGCTCAAGTATGACTTACCTTCAGTGAATCCACAGTGACTACTCCTTATCACCTTCTTCTCGTCCATGTGGACAGAGACAGCCTCCAGAGGTAGGCGCTCCACCACCTTTTCAGGGATTGAGTTGAGGCTGACTGATCTGTAGTTCCCTGTGTCCTCCTTCTTGCCCCTTTTGAAGACTGGGGTAAAATTTGTTTTCTTCCAGTCCTCAGGTACCTCCCTTGATCACCTGATCAACCTTTCAAAAATGATTGTGACTGGCCTAGCTATGGTATTCGCCAGCTCTCTTAGCATTTATGGATACATCCTGTCAGAGCCAATGGACTTGTGGATGGTCAGGGTGCTCTCTAATCCAGTGCTCATGACCAAGGAAAAGTCTTCCTTACAATATTCTTTCACCCTGGTCTCCTGGCTCAGAGATTCCTGAGGGCTGGTCTTGTCAGTGAAGACGGATGCACTGAAGGCATTCAGTAACTCTGCCTTCTCCATGTCCTCTGTTACCGTGGTCCCCACTCCATTTATTCCAGATGGGCCTTGGCCTTCCTTGCCTCATTTCTCCTTACTCTGAAAACCTTTCTATTCTCATTCCAAGTGACCTGATCCTGCTTTCATCTCCTGTATATTTCCTGCTTATGCTTGTGTAATAACATGAGTTCTTTATTCATCCACACAGGGCTCTTGCCCACTTTGCCTGATTTCTTGCTCATCAGGATGCATCATTCTTAAGCCTTGAGGAAGTGATCCTTTAATATCAACCAGCTCTCCTTGACCACTCTTTCCTGTAGGACCTGTTTCCATAGGATTCTTCCAAGAAGACCACTAAAATGGCTAAAGTTAGCTCTCCTTAAATCCGTGGTTGCAATCTTACTTGTTGCCCTGCTTCCTTCTTGCCCAATGCTGAATTCCACAATCTCGTGGTCAGGCAAGGTTGTCCCCAAACTTTACATCTCCAACGAGGCCTTCTGTGTTAGTTAGTATAAGGTCAAGTATCACACCATTCCTTGTGGTATCCTCCACTACCTGCCATACTCATATAAACCTCCTCCATCAAGGTACTGAGAAGCAGTGAAAGGAATTTGCTTTTTTAAAAGGTTAACTCAATTCCCTGCATCACTTTCAAAATTTCAGTTAGAAAATACAATTGTTTGACTTCATATTGCAAAACACAGAAAACCAAAGCCATCCTGAAGAGACAACATTCTGCTTATGTTCAGGTCTGCTAACAATTTGATCAAGTTTATATTTAGTTATTTTCCAAATATGGCAAAGCTTTCTAAAGAAAATATGTTACCTTCTTAAAAAAGAATGAAAAAGATAAGGTAACATGACTGTAAAGTATATGTTAAGTAATTTAAAACTTAAGATATCATTGTGTTTTGTAATACAATAAAATATTAATTTGTAGCCTTCTTACACTGATTTCAAGAGACTAATAAAATCTTAAGGTAAACTTTAAATCCATAACATCTTATGGAACCTTCTGTGGATTGTATAAACTTGTGAGAAACTCTGAGATATACTCCTGTAAACCCTGCCCTTCCTTAAAAGTTGGACTACTTTTCTTATACTATTCCTTCTTTGTTGGGCAGACGCAAGCCACTGGATAACCTTTCAGATTATTTAGCTCAGTAGCTTTGGTAGCTAAACAAAAATTATACCAGAATCACTGTGGTACAAGGCCCTCATGCTTTGCTTCAAAGGCAATTAGGTTACCATGAAACACATTCTCTGCACCTCTGTTTGGTGTTTCTGAGAACGGTGAGATTTCATTGCAGAAGTGCAATCCTTAGCAGTGAGGCAGAACTAATAGGAAATGTTCCATTCTTTTCTTATACTGACATTGTTATACCCTGGATTTTAATGCTGACAAAAGCAATCAACTTTGTTTTATTTACCCACGATGGAACAGTCAATACCAAATTGTCCCATTTCCAATTCCATTTATGTCAACAGAAGCTAGAGCAGTGAATCAGTAATCTCACTCTTTAAATGTATAGAAGAAATTGTCATGTGTTAAAATCAAGGGTTAGCATCCGTATTTACACAAATTACATTATTAATACAGAACAACACTACTTAGATTCAATCCCATTTTCAGTACAGCCTTCATGAAAAAGAATAATTATTGAAATTAAAAGGCCTAAATTATTGTAGAAATACATTTTCAGGATGTTTAGACAATAATACTACCTTGAGCATTTTCAGAAAAATTTCCAGTGGATGTAACTTCTGTGATTTTTATGAACAGTCAGCACCAAAATGTGTAATTCCACCTGATCCACCAAAGCTCCCAAATCATTGCTGCTTCCCCCAAGGCACCATAGAGAGATTCTTGCACAAAAAAATCAGTTGACAATTATCTCACCTACCCTTCAGGTTTTCAGGATTACAATGCTAAGATAGGACAGGGCATCAGTAGAGCCACTAGGATTTGCATCAAGAATGTTTTCAAAGAAATTCAGCGTCCAGCTGAAAATTAAATACCCAAACTGAATGTTAACATAGCTTCGTGCTGCTGAAGGAAGATTTTAAAGTTATTGACAGTTTTACTCTCTTCTGACCACAAAAACTGAAAAAACACATAGGATACATCAGATTTTAGCCAGTGTAAACTTCGTTATAACCACAGAATTATAGTTTAACTATACTTGATATGTATCCTCAAACATGATTCCTTTGTCCTGAAAGAATAAATCACTTAGTTTTAATTTTTGATATTTTATTATAGGTTGAGGTTTAAAAATAAAATATAAACAGATTCTTCTGAAAATAGGCTAAGAAGAGAAGCATTTAAACTATAGATGAAATTGAAAGCAGCTAGGTAACTTAAATGAGGGGGGGAAAATGTAACTTACCTTTGAACACTGTTTATGATTCTGGCACCAAGCAAGTGACCCATTGTTCTGAAAGATAAACAAAAAATAAATAAATATTAATATTTCTTTCAGACTAATATGTCCACCCTAATGTGTTAAAATAGAAAATGCCATCTGGTTCTGCTTAGAGAATGATCTTGTGCCACAACACAAGTACCAATGCTGACTCCTACTCCCTTGTGTGGCGTAAAAGGCTCAGGTGAGTGTAAAGAGACCAGAAAAAAGGTAGAAATGCATTTCACCAGACAAGTTTGGTGGAAAACTGACCACTCATCTTTTACTCCATCTTTGTAAACACTTATTATCTAGAATTGCTAAAAAGCAGACAAAAGTTACCACTTGTATTTAAGAAACTGATATAGATTGGTAGTGATTCATGAACATAAAGTCCATTAGTCACATTTCAATATTGCATGATATTTAAAATATATTATCGAGGAAAGACAATGAACAACCTTGAAGTAAATGGAAAATCCAATTAAATGAGACATGAGTTTACCAAAGACATCTGTGCCAGTTTTATTTTATATTTTTGATAATAAAGTGCATTTTCCAGATAAAGAAACACTACAGCTCTCATTTATTTTGGTTGCAGTAAAATAACCGATAAAATATAACATGCAAAATAATAATTTAAGCTAAAGGAAAAGAAAACATGATGAGAACAGAAAGATAAATACAAAACTGGCACAGGAACAAACAGTAACTTATTGTTCTCCCAGAGGAGCTTCTGAAGAGTGAATTTTGGAAACAATATTTCCTGGTTTTAAAAAAGCACAGCTCAGAAAAGGGAAACATGTTTGTGGTGTTAACAGATGAGACAAAACAATGATTCACTTTCTGTATAGAGGAAGATCGAAACAACATCAGGAATAATTGAGTGACTCTTTAGACTGAACATGAGAAATAGGGCACAAACTCTGCAACACAGAGTGCATGTTCATGTACTTAAGACCTCATATGTATGTATTTCTTCCATAATGTATAAGTTCATACTCCGGAAACAGAATGGATGAAGATTCTGGTAAATTTGCTTTTCAGAATCTGACTACAATTGTGAGTCTGATTTCATATGAATTAGGCAAGGTATTCCCACAGGGATGAATTAATGTGATTGTAGTATATCTTTGCCATTGGCACCAACTATAGGTTTGGAGATCAGCTTCCAAGGAGGAGGAACTCAGGTAGGCCAGAATACAAAGGACTAATACAGCAGCAGTATACCTTTTTCTATTTTTTTTTTTTAATAAAGGGTGATACAAATAATAGAATAATGTATATATACATGTGTTGGTTTCAGCTAGGATAGATTTAATTTTCTTCACAGTAGCTAGTATGGGCTATGCTTTGGATTTGTGCTGGAAACAATGCTCATAACAGGGATGTTTGGTTTTTTTTACTGCTGAGCAGGGCTTACATACAGCATCAAGGTCTTTTCTGCACCCAATCGCACCAGGAAGAAGGCTGGAGGTGAACAAGGAGTTAGAAGAGGACAAAGCCGGGACAGCTGATCCCAACTGGCCAAAGGGATATTCCATACCCTATGGCATCATGCTCAACATATAATGCTGGGGGGAGAAGGAGGAAGGGGGTATCTCTGGAGTTATGGCATTCATCTTCCCCAGTCTCCATTACGCTTAACAAAGCCCAGCCTTCGTGGGCATGGCTGAACATCTGCCTCCCCACAGGAAGCAGTGAAATAATTCCTTGCTTCGCTTGTGTGCACGGCTTTTGCTTTACCTATTAAACTGTCTTTATCTCAACCCATGAGTTTTCTCACTTTTACTCTTCTGATTGTCTCCCACATCCCACCCAGGGGGGCAACTGAGTGAGCACGTGTATCAAGCTTAGTTGCCAGCTGGCTTTTAACAACAACAATATATAATTGTTTATGTATAAAACACACACCGATATATTCAAAATTATTATCTTTATATACACCAAACACAATTCAGAAAGAGAAACAGATACATTAGAAACATCTTAACTGAGACAACTAGAACAGTTTCTCAAAACTGCAGCACTAGTTCTGATCTCAGCAAAGCTTACAAGCTTGAATACAGTGACTTGCTACCACAACTATGAAGTCTATGCTTTGAAGCTGGATCTCTCTTTGTGAATGTTTCAATAGATCCTGTTTGTGCATGTCTTCATACAAGTATGTTACATGTTCACAAAAGCTCCCAACATGTGGCCAGCAGGTCAAGGTAAGGGATTGTCCCCCTCTAATCTGCTCTCATGAGCCCCACATAGAGAACTACATCCAGTACTGGAGTCCCCAGGACAAGAAGGTCATGGACCTGTTGGAACAGGTCCAGAGGAAGGCCACAAGAATGATCTGAAGACCAGAGCTCAATAAAGGCTGAGAGAGTTGGGGTTGTTCAGCCTGGATAACACTCTAGGGAGACCTTACTGCAGTTTTTCAATATATAAAGGGGGCTTATGAGAAAGATGGACTTTTCACCAAGGTCTGTAGTAACAGAACAAGAAGCAATAGTTTTAAGCTGAGAGAGGGTAGATTTATATTGGATATAATGAAGAAACTTTTTACATTGAGGGTGGTGAGATACTAAAACAGATTGCCAAGAGAAGCGGTAAATGCTCCATCACTGGAACTGTTCAGCAACAAGTATGATCTTGTAAAAGATCCCAGGACAGGAAGGGGGCCTAGATGACCTTTAAAGATCCCTTCCAACTTCAATCATTCTGTGAGTGTGTGGCTTCAACAGCCTCCACAGCCATAGAATCTACAAAATGGTTTGGTTTTCACCACAACTTTTGATCTGGACTTCAGAAACTTTTATGTAAGCCTTTTTTTCCATATAAGCTGTAATACTAAAAATTTCTACTCCTGTATTACCTAAGGAGCTCTAGGGATGATAAAGATATATTTACTCCTTTCCACTTGGTAGGCTTATTTAGCAGTAATTAAAAAAAACCAAAATCAATTCAAATAATTTCAGTATTTTATGAAAATTTATTTTATGTTCCAGCAGATTAAAATGCAATCACTACTTGATTTTATGATACCACTTTTATTTATCATTACTGTAGAATTTAGCTAAAACTGAGATTTGCTAGCATAACATTAGCTAACTATGAGCACCATGTCAGGTCAAAAACCCTTTGAAAAGAGACACAAATAGAAGTAATAAAACTTTAGAACAGCCATAAATAACATATGCTAGTGGGAATTCTTCAGTATTACCCTCAATGCTGTATGAGGATTTATTATTTCCATTTAAAGATCTAGCCAGCAGTAATGTTAAAACAATATTTCATGTGTTACTATCAATTTATCCCCCCTTTCTTCTTCATATAAAATGTGACAGAGGTAGCTGATTGCAATAACAGATTAGTAGCAGCTCACCACTTTGTTTCAGTTACACTGCTACTTTCCACTGAACTAGAAAAAGCACCTCTGGTTTTAAATTTTTTAAATCTGTTACTTGAGACAATGAAGCCATAAATGTCCAGATGTGCAGCTCCCCTACTTGATAATTTCAACGACTACAACTGTTTTCGTTTCTCTACTGAAAAGTATTAGTGCTTGAGTTAAAAGGTAAGTTTATCAATAAGCAAACGTATTGTTTAGCAACTTGAGCTTCATACAAACTCACATTCACATGATGTCAATGATCTTTCATTACACAAGAAGAAAAAGCAAATTCTACAAGTTTCCTTTGAACAACACGGTATCAGGGGAAGCACAAATGCTATATGAAGGCTCTCCTTCACTCTGCATCTTAGCAAATGGTTAATCAGAAACATCCATAACTTATGTTTATTGTTCCTGTTCGTTTACCTGGCTGAAAACATAATTTTAAACTATGAGAAATTTCCCTCATGTCTGTTTCTGTTCAAACCCAATCCTGACCTGACTTATGCCAAATGAGAGTTTTGACTCAGTCTTAAGTGGTGGCTTAACTCTGTGGTGCAGAAATGGCCTCAAGGAAGAGTTCAATAGACCCATCTGTAAGCCTTGCACCAGTGCACCTTCAGCAACCTTGAAGTATCTTAACCTTGGAGTATACTGAAGAGAATAAACTGCACGCAATAGGGCACACTGCAAGTATCCTTCTTCCCAGCCCTGACACGTCATAGGAAAGACATCAGGTAGGAGACACTAAAGCATTCTTCAACAGCATATCATAGATTGAGGAACTGAGATCACCACCTGAGCCCCACACTCTTTCAGTCTGCCAGGAATGAAAATGCATATAAACTTCCAGAATCAGACCTTCAAAGACCAGGATAGTTTGAAGTCGTATAAGGACAAGAGCTTACCAAAGCAAGGACAAGATGGAGAAAAAAACTTAAAACAGACAAATATTACAAGACTTATCATTCAAACTTTTAAAGAAAATACATGCCACACATATTTGCAATGAAACTGTTAAATTGGTACCTCTAATCAGTCTTACTCGGCTACATTTCAGCAAGTATATGTGCACATTTTCTTTCCTCTGGCAAACCATAAATATCCTTGTTCTGTGCCCTATTATGCCTTGAGAAAAAGAAAAGTTGTGCAGCAGCTCTTGAAAGGAAAAAACACATGTAGAGAAGCAAGAAAAATGGATCTTCTATCTACAGTGTGCCCTAGGGAAAAAAAAGCTGATAACCTTCACAAGCAAGTAAAAGCTGGTCCTTAATTTGAGGAATGGCAAAAAAAAAAAATATTTCATTTGCATCTCTGTCCATAATTATCTTAGGAGATATAACCCTTCTTTTGAAATGCCAGAGATGATCTATAAAAAATGTACTAGTCACTGAATTTGCTACGACAGTACCTGTATACCCATTATCAGTTTTGGAAGTCTCTTCTCCCTTGTCCAATTTTCAACTCACATTTGAGTGAAACTACTATCTCTCAAAATTTGCCTCTTCCAACGACCTCACCAATTCTTTCAAAATGACAAAAAAGCATAGAAATAAACCCTTCAAATAACAGTACCCACTGAAGTGAAAAAGAACGTTTGAGTAGACAAATCAATAACTGCTGCAATGATGAATTTAGAGAGACAGCCTCCCAATATACATTTTCCTTAACCTTTCAAAAGTCTCAACAGCATGAAATTAAAAGTAACATTGAAATATAATTTATATTGTGTTTGACATGCATTTCCTGACTGCATGCTCACTATAACACAAATTAATAGACAGACTTATTCACAGCAGTGCTGGGCTTCCCCAGGTCCAACTCTGAAGTGTGGAATTAGGACGCAAAACAGAATCAACAAATTCAGACTAGACTTTCCAGCTCCCAAATACCAAAGTATGCACTTAGGAATGAATTTCAGACAAGTTTGCACAGAAATTTCTGAAAAGTTTGGAGAGAGATATCAAAGCCTCCAGATAGGAAATGCCAAAGAAAATTTTATTTCTCAAAGCCTTTCTCTGGAGATGAAACACAAACTTGTAATGAATGTATGCGCATGGGAACCACAGTACTACCTCTCCAGGGTTCTGGTATTTACTTATCCTTTTGCATATAAATAAATAGAATGCATTTTACTTTGAAAATAAGGTAGGAAAATGAAAAAAGGATGCTCTGTCATAAGATATCATGAACACTTGCCCCAAAGTCTTTCACCAAGCTAAAGCAAATTAAAGCCCTTCTTCACTTTGAAATTACTCTTAACAACAGGCTAGGGTGAAGACTGACACTTGGCCAGTGAAACTGAGCCACTCTGCAGAAATGAGCAAGAGAAACATGGAGCTGGAGGTGGTGAACAAGCAAGGTCATAAAGTCTACCTCTCTGGGAAACAAGATCACTTCTTCAAGGATAACTGATGCAAATGTATTTTTAGCATCATCACCACCACTCCATTCTTGTCCAATGTACATCAAGTTTGAAGACAACCCACTGGATAAGCCAAGAATAGAACAGAATCATTATGAGATGAAACCACCCATAAAACACAACAGAATACCAATAATATTCTAGTTCCTTGGCTTCCATTTAGGGAAGAAAGGAAGGAAATACAAACAACTGAAATTAGTACATTCTGTTCTTTTTATAGTTTTGTATTTCATTGTAAATTTAAGGAAATAATTCCTTAGTAAGGAATTTCTGTTGCCTTATAATGGCTCTAATAAAGAATGACACTGAATAAAGTAATCATCAACAAATCATAAATTGAATGTTATCATGTACCTTTGAGCCATTCCATCTGCCCTGTCACTAGATTCCAGGGAGAAAAGATCAGCACCTCCCTTTCCACTTCCCCTTCGCAGGCAGAGAACAATGAAGTCTTCCAGCCCTTTCACCAGCTTTGTTGCCCTTCTCTGGATGCATTCAAGGATCTTCACAACCTTCCTAAATTTTGGGGCTCAGAACTGCACACAGCACTCCAGGTGAGGCTGCACCAATGCTGAATATAGCAGGATAATCACCTCTTCTGACCAGCTGGTGATGCTGTGTTTGATACACCCCAGGATGGGATTTGTCCTCTTGGCTGCGCTGGCACCCCACTGACTCCTCTTCAGCCTGATGTCTGACCAAGACTCCAGATACCTTTCTGCAGAGCTGCTCTCCAGCTGTTCCTCTGCCAGTTTATACTTGTGCCTAGCATTATGCAGAATCCAACATTTTTTACTAGTTAAGTTTCATCCCACTACT